GCTTTCTTAAAGGGACCCTCCCACCTTCAAAAAAGTTTATGAATTGGCATGAAAGTGATGTCGCTCGGTTCAGAAAGAGCGAAAACGAATATCTACCAAATTTCACCGAAAAATATTCACCGGTTTTCAAGATATTAGACTTTTACTTTTGTTTACTTTTTTGGGATCTCCGCTGTTTCTAGCGACTTTATTTTAGAAGTGCGGCGTTTGCGGCAGATGTTGCGCGCAAATAGCATATACCACCGCGTGCTACAAAACGTTTTAGTCAAACATTTAAAAATCGTTAGATATTTGCGCTGACGTCACACATTCAGAGGGGTATTCCTAAGCATTAGCCCCTCTGAATCAAAATGCTGCAATTTTGAAATTCAATATTTCCGATTTAAGGCATTTCTCGATGTTGTGAGTGCCGAAACCGGTAATTGTGAGCCAGGGACCCCATTTTGGCTATCTCAACTCAAATCTAATGTTAAGGTGGGAGGGTCCCTTTAAAATAAAGCTGACCTCGGGGTAATACCGGACACGTGTCCGGTATTACCCCATGCTGAGCGGTATGTTACGTTATGTTGTTACGTTATGTTACGTTACGTTATGTACGTTATGTTACGTTACGTTAGCGGTATGTTGTGTTAGTTTGCTTGCTGTGTTTACGGTTGTGCTAGTTTGCTTGCTGTGTTTACGGTTGTGTTAGTTTGCTGCTCTGTTGGCGCCGCGCTGTTGTGTTGCAGCGAGTGCAGTGTTGTGTTGCAGTGCAGTGTACTATTAACTACTGAATACAGTTGTCGTTTCTTAATTCGGGTGAGACTAAATGCTTACTTCGAAATCTAAGCTGCGTTGCGGCATTGGCGGTTATGTGCGGCGTGTATGCCGCATGATTAGTAAGCGGCGACCACTAAATTAAAAACTCAATAGCTTTGACCTGTTTTCAATGGATAACACTGCATACCAAAAATGTCCATCGCTCTCGTCATAGGATATTTAGATTTAAATAACTAACTTATCTACATCATTGTCTTGAACCAAATTAATACTCAGCCGCGAACGTATAAGGTATAACCCCTTGCCGTTTCGCTCCTGATCAAGCTAGAGCTTCGCGGAAAAAACGAGCGTGTTGCCCGTGACGAGAGAAAGCCGATGATACCCAATTTTAAGGTCCTTGGTCATCGGTTGACCTTCCAGGTCAGGTCAATGACCCAAAAGGCGGGAAAATTGGGACCTGTTAGAACGTCGTAGTGTGGCTGCTATGAGGTTTTTCGGGGTGCTGATCACGAATATCATGCTAGTTTTGATGACAGATGATGTCTTCATTCATTTAGGCCAGGTCGGGTTAGGTCAGGTCAGGTCAACCAGTAGAGGTCCTGCCAGGTATTTGTAGTAGGTGTCAACCGCCTCTGACAGCCTCGTAACATGTTACGAAGGCACCAAAACTACTTTGTAAACGTTCATGTGGTTGCTTAATTCGAATTCAGCTCGAAAAAACTGACCTAGAAACATGTCAAACTCGAAAAAGTGAACCGAGGTCACCAAAGGTCAATGACCTGACCTGACCTTCAGGTGACCTTGACACCCACCCTAATGCATGGGGGCAACATCATATCACATGTTTGAACGCTTGAAACCACGAAAAGACTGCAAACGCGCTGCTAATGCGAGCCGACATACGCTGAATCGCGGTTCCGGCCAAACATGGTCTCGAAAAGTAGGTCACAGGTCAAAGGTCATTTGGGTCAGGGTCATGAAATTTTCAGGATGGGTGTTAAATTGATCAATGCGAGGGTACTGAAAGTTTCGTCGCGATCAGCCGCTTTTTAAGCGAGTTATTCGCGAAAAACCTTAGGGGGGTTGCATCAACCCACCCCCCCCCCCCGTGCGGGCGAGGTCATGTTTTGATAGCAAGACTGAAACAGACTTTTTTGGGTAGCCAGGAAATCGCATGCCAGAGCCTATTCAAATTCTTTTATCGGCCTTTATATGCACCAGTCGCATACAGGTACGGGATTTAGCATACGATTTCCAGACAATCGAAAGACTGTTTGGAGACACCAAAGGAAGGAATGAGTGAGTTAAGTTGAAAGTATTAATTTGGTTCAAAATGATGATGTAGATAACCTTGTTATTTAAAGCTAAATATCTTATGACGAGAGCGGTTGGCATTTTTGGTATGCAGTGTTATTCATTGAGAACCGGTCGGAGCGTTTGAGTCTTTAATTTAGTGGTCGCCGCTTACTAATCATGCGGCATACACGCCGCACATAACCGCCAATGCCGCAACGCAGCTTAGATTTCGAAGTAAGCATTTAGTCCCACCCCTTAATTCTCACTTAAATTTCCATCGAAAGAACGGTTTAAGGATGAATACCAGTGACGATATTTCGACTTTTTGTGCTATTGCACTTAGTGGCCGGCATTACCCCTCGCTTTTTTGCACCTCCATTTTTCACCACATTTTCGCGTAGGCTCTGAATCTGTCATCAGTGATCTGAGATACTAAAACTGGGTGTTATCTGAAAGCCTATTCCTTTGGCTATAACCACAGTCAAAATCACCATAAAATAGCTTCAAATAGCTAAGCTATTGAGCAAAATGCTTATGGTGTCGCCATTGCCCCACTCTCCCCTATAGATTTCAGCAGCATATTGCGGGGTCTTTCGATTTTAGTGAAAATTGTTGCACAGGATTTCGTCGATACGTTGATTCCGAAAATGTGCCTCTCTGGCGTGGCATTTTGTACCGTTAACAAGTTAACGGCCATTCAATATTTTAACGGGAAACGGCGGGGTCTTTCGATTTGGCTGAAAATCGGTATACGGGGCCTCCTCGATGCGCTGATTCCGAAAATGTAGGTACCTCTTTGGGGTGCTATTTTGCATCGAGGAGGCCCTGTATACTGATTTTCAGCCAAAACGAAGACCTCGCCATTTCCCGTTAAAATGTTAATTATTGGCCGTTAACTCGTTAACGGTGCAAAATACCACCCTAAAGAGTTACATTTTCGGAATCAGTGCATCGAGGAAGCCGGCTGTATTCCGTCCGATGTTCAGCCAAATCGAAAGACCCCGTAATAGTTGTTGAAATATTAACGGGCCGTTAATTAGTTAACAGTGCAAAATACCACCCTAAAACGGCACATTTTCGGAATCAGCCGCAGCACATCGAGGAGATCCTGTACAACAATTTTCATTTAAGTCGAAAGGCCCGCAATATGCTGCTGAAATGTATATATGCTGCTGATGTTAACGTGCCAAGCCAAATCGAAAGACCCCGTAATATGTTGTTGAAATATTAACGGGCCGTTAATTCGTTAACAGTGCAAAATACCACCCTAAAACGGCACATTTTCGGAATCAGCCGCAGCACATCGAGGAGATCCTGTACAACAATTTTCATTTAGGTCGAAAGGCCCGCAATATGCTGCTGAAATGTATATTTGCTGCTGATGTTAGCGTGCCATTCGTTATCAGTGCAAAATACAAACCCCTAGAGGTACATATTTGGAATCAGCGCACTGAGGGTCGAGGGACGAGGAGGCCCGGCGGAGACAGCCCGAAACATGCTGCTGTGAGGGTGATATTCGCTGCTGCTGAATTGACAAACGTGGCAGTAGATTAGTGCTTTCTGCTGCTGTCTTTGTGACGAGATTGAGCTAAAAGCGACGCATGCTGACCATACCCAAAGCCAAGGTATTGTTACCAGGGTTACCGCTGCTAGGGAAATTTCCCTTTTCTATGGAAATCAGCGAAGATCTAGGGATATATGGATTTCACACGAAATCTAGGGAAATACCACCAACCCGAAAAATTGTTGTTTTTTCAACAATCGAAATCATTGTTGTCATGAATTATTCTTCTGCATGTCATACCAAATAAATATGAGAACATTTTTCAAAAATTCAGGTTTGATACCCTCGTTTTAAAGATATAAAGGGAATTACATACCTACCTATGTATGCATGTATATATAATTCTTGCTATTATTCCAAAACAAACTGCTTCTGCGTTGTTCCATTTCGGGTGCGGCTAATTTTTCACATCAAAGTTTTTGTTTTGGCACGATTTTTACAATGTCTACCTCTAGCGCATATCACTTCCTTACGGTTAAAGGGACCCTCCCACCTTCAAAAAAGTTAATGAATTGGCATGAAAGTGATGTCGCTCGGTTCAGAAAGAGCAAAAACGAATATCTACCAAATTTCATCGAAAAATATTCACCGGTTTTCAAGATATTAGACTTTTACTTTTGTTTACTTTTTGGGATTCCCGCTGTTCCTAGCGACTTTATTTGAAAGTGCGGCATTTGTTGCGCGCAAAGCAGCGTATACCACCACGTGCTACAAAACGTTTTAGTCAAACATTTAACGGACGTTCGAAAGCTTGATGACGTCATCAGATTCCTGTAATGGTTAAGAGATAGGGACCACGCTGGTCCCACCCTGCAAGTAAAGGGAAGAAATTTCTTGAACACCATAAAGCTGCGGGGGTTGCGACCAGGATAAATGGTGGTTTCTGAGCCTGGCCGCAAACTTGGCTATCTCAACTCAAAACTAATGTTAAGGTGGGAGGGTCCCTTTAAACTGACGGTGCAAAATAATGCATCGACTCGTCTCTTACGCCAGCACTACCGCTACCCATACGATGTTGGTAGTTTCCCGCGCCCCACAACACACCACAATTTGCGATATACCACGCAATTATGTTATACCTATACCACATACAGTAATTTGCTATATGCCAGCAATTTCATTAGAATCTCTTACGTTAACGTTACAGAATGTAGTTATGTAATTGCTGTTTTAGGACGCAGCGACTATAACACGAATGGTTAAAATGAGAAAAGTACGTCAAATTCCATGAAAATAACCGCATCTAGGGAAATGATTTTTAAAATAGGGAAATTTTCATGAGAATCTGGGGAAACCAGCGAGACGCCAGCGGTAACGCTGATTGTTACCAGAGTGTTTATCAATGGCAAATTAATGTATATGGAGTGTTATTTTGACTGTTGAAAAAAGCCAGGCATAAAAGATACCGGTCGTTTATGTTACTTTCATTTTCAGTTCTTTATCTCTAAGTTCATAACCATTTTATAGTTCGCTACTAACATTAACTACTGTCCTACCTGGAAATATTACTCAATACTATATCCTGGTTCTATCCGGTACCCGCTGCTGTCTTTCCGTTCCACTACCACGCTTAGTACTCCATTGTCTTACCTACCAACTCTGAAGACATGAAAGTGGCAACAAGACATCTACGGACGCTCTGAGCCCGATGAGGCTATGCGCCCTAACCCACGACCAAGACCAAGACCAAAGCCAAGGCAGTATATACCCCCAAAGCCTGCCAAAGCCAAAATTCTTACAGATATTATTGTTATTATTATTACAGATGCAGATACCAAAGTTCTCTATATTATATACCGTGGTACCCAAGGCCCTAAAACCCAGACTAAAACCGGCCTTGATCGCCTTGATATCAATATACTGCCTTGGGCCTATCATAGCCTTGGTTAGGTTTACATAGCCTTGGTATCTATGCTTGCTTTACACCATTTTGTTATAGTGTTTTTTTATCTCTGAGCGGTATATACCGCCTTGCTCTGAGCTATCATTGTAAGATTAAGTTCAAGTTACTGTTGTGTGCTGTGCAAGTCGATACCTATTTATAAAATTGAAAATTATCACTACAGGACAAGTATTCTTCTTTCGCAATTTTTTGTCAGTTGTCAAGCAGGCGTCACACTTCCCTGTAAACAGCTATGAGCTAAAGGGAGGTGATTGGATGTGACCTTGTTTGAGACAGTAGCGGAGTATGACATCGCAAGCATACTATCAAAGCGAAGCAGGCTGTGCTAATAACTGGACTTTCCCAGCTGGCGCTGTATGCTGGCGTTAGCAGAGCTTGCCATTATAAACTGCTTGATATAAAAGACTAAATAATAATATCTACTTAAAATTTTTCATATTCATGCCATTTTACATGTTAAAGGGACCCTCCCACCTTCAAAAAAGTTAATGAATTGGCATGAAAGTGATGTCGCTCGGTTCAGAAAGAGCAAAAACGAATATCTACCAAATTTCATCGAAAAATATTCACCGGTTTTCAAGATATTAGACTTTTACTTTTGTTTACTTTTTGGGATCTCCGCTGTTCCTAGCGACTTTATTTGAAAGTGCGGCATTTGTTGCGCGCAAAGCAGCATATACCACCGCGTGCTACAAAACGTTTTAGTCAAACATTTAACGGACGTTCGAAAGCCTGATGACGTCATCAGACTCCCGTAATGGTTAAGAGATAGGGACCACGCTGGTCCCACCCTGCAAGTAAAGGGAAGAAATTTCTTGAACACCATAAAGCTGCGAGGGTTGCGACCAGGATAAATGGTGGTTTCTGAGCCTGGCCGCAAACTTGGCTATCTCAACTCAAAACTAATGTTAAGGTGGGAGGGTCCCTTTAAGGTCCATATACTACCGTGTTTATATCTATATATTAATGGATATCGTATGCTGCTACTTGGCCAGCCAGCTGATAGCATCCAGTTGTTAACAAGGCCCGGCAACGCTTTTGCTTGATTAGAGTAATTCAGTTGGGGAAACTATGAAGCGAATGTCAAAAAATGGATTGGTCAATAAATGGACTTTTGATGACCATATATGGGCATAAATGCAGCCCCCGCTACTAAGGGTGAAAAACGGTATAACAAGTCGGTACTTGCGGTATCGCGTCCACTTTTTGGAGAGAAAAGGCTTCCATTTTTCACTAGGAATTAGTGTGATTTGATTAAATTCGGCGAATTGACTCGAAAATGGCGATAGGAAAACGGCTTTTCTGCAGGTTCTGGGCGCCACAATCAGCTGGCCATTCAATAAATGGATTGGTTTTATGAAAGAAAATTGTTAAAAGATTTAATTTAATTACAATAAACAAAAATATTTAATTCTAAAATAATAACTTAACTACAATTAGAAAAACCATAAACAAAATAATAAAAATAATGACATTTTTAAACCACGGTACTGCTTACATTTTTTGGCGCGTCTGTTTCAATCCGCCATATTTGCCAATCACGGTTTGACCTTGCGTTGTAACTCTGCGATTTAGAGCCGCCAGTTAATTATGCACCGGGTGAGTGTAGGTCTTGTGTGGTTAAAAAACATTCTTATGCGTTATTTTTTCATTTGAATGCTAAAATTCATTAAAAAGATGAAGTTGTCTGATTTTATGACCATATATGGTCATCGCCCCGCCCACTCCAGCCGCTGATTGGCTAATCCATTTTTTGTTTGGCTCCTCGTAGTTTCCCCCAACTGAATTGGCCTGATAGAGCCTGCCCACATTCAACTCATTGACCCTAACTCAACTCAAAGTGACCATCCCACCACCTTCACATTATTTTTAAGTTGAGATAGCCAAACTGGGATCCCTGGCTTGCACTTACTGGTTTGGGCACTCACAACATAGAGAAAGGCTTTACTTTGGATTCAGATCAGGAGGGGCATTTGAATTGATGATGAATTTGTGATGTCAGCACAGATCTAGCGATTCTAAAATCTTATGCTAGCGTCGTTGTGAATCTGTGGTGGTATATGCTGTTTGTACACAACATTTGCAGCACTTTTAATATACCAAATTATTGCTTCCAAATGACATGGAAGGAACAGCAAAGGCCCAGAAAAAAATAAAAGTAAATTTGTCTGATATCTCAAAAACCAGTTAATATTTTCAATGAAATATGGCAGATACTCAGATTTAGGTATAGATGTTTTGCTCACTCTGAACCAAGCTTCACCACTTTTATGCCAATTCATTTACTTTTTTGAAGGTAGGAGGGTCCCTATAATAATTGCAAGTTGTTACCATCATTTTTATTGTCATTTCAGTATAAATAAACTGGTAGGTGCCTATGTATATTTTCAAGTTTCTTTATGCTTGTGCGAGGGTCACATTTAAAACATTTTATTTTAATGACCTTATCCTGTAAGTTAAAAAAGCTTAAGCAAAGCACTTGTTTACTGATAATTTTGAGCACAGCTCAAAATATACTATTTACCATTGTTGTGATTATTTCTTTTGATGTGAGGAATAAAGTCATTAAAATGGTACCTACCTATCTATGATGCAGTTTGACTTGCAGGAACCCAGACTGAGAATGGAAGAATACATAGGAGCCATTGTGAGCCTGGACTGTGGGCCAGCACTGGGTCATTACCAAGGAGAGGTGTCCACCATCAACAATCAAGACCAGACCCTCACTATCTCAAAGCCGTTCAGAAATGGAGTCCCGTGCACCATGTCGGAGCTCACTTTCAGGTAAGGGTTTGATGTTACAGGCTATCAAAGTTAACCCTCGCCCGTATAGGCGGGGGGGGGGGGGTCGAACGGACCCCCATCCCTCGGTTTTTCGCGAATAGCTCGCGTAAAAAGCGGCCGATCACGACGAAACTTACAGTTCCCTCGTGTTGATCAATTTTACACCTACCCTGAAAATTTCATAACCCTGACCCAAATGACCTTTGACCTGTGACCTACTTTTCGAGACGATGTTTGGTCGGAATCGCGATTCGGCGTAGGTATGTCGGCTCGCATTAGCTGCGCGTTTGCAGTCTTTTCGTGGTTTCAAGCGTTCAAACATGTGATATGATGTTGCCCCCATGCATTAGGGTGGGTGTCAAGGTCACCTGAAGGTCAGGTCAGGTCATTGACCTTTTATGACCTCGGTTCACTTTTTCGAGTTCTACATGTTTCTAGGCTAGTTTTTGGAGCTGAATTCGAATCTAGCAACCATATGAACATTTACGAAGTAGTTTTGGTGCCTTCGTAACATGTTACGAAGCTGTCAGAGGTGGTTGACACCAGGGATGCGGAGCCGTGGAAATTTCAGACGGCTCCGGCTCCGGAGAAAAAATCTGCTCCGGCTCCGAGTGAAATGTCAGGTCGGCTCCGGCTCCGAGTAAAATGGTCTGGCTCCGGCTCCAGTAGGTACTCAGTACATCCCCTATGCAATTAAATACGGTTGGAACAAAAAAAGACGATGGGATTGGTACACATTGCTTCTGCTGTATTTGCATAACAAAGCTACTTTGAATACCACATGTAGGTACTGCCACTGCCTTGTACTGTCAAACCGAACTAGGTCAACCATTTTTTCCTCTTCGAAAGTCTTTTTTATTCTTTTTTGACTCTTTGACTCTTTTTTGACGGCTCCGGCTCCGGACTATATTGTTTCACGGCTCCGGCTCCGGGCAAAATATGCCGGCTCCGGCTCCAGCTTCGGTTCCGGCTCCGCATCCCTGGTTGACACCTACTACGAATACCCGGCAGGACCCCTACTGGGTGACCTGACCCGACCTGGCCTAAATGCATGAAGACATCATCTGTGATCAAAACTAACGTGATATTCGTCATCAGCACCCCGAAACATCCCATAGTAGCCACACTTTACGACCTTCTAACAGGTCCCGATTTTCCCGACTTCTGAGTCATTAACCTGACCTGGAAGGTCAACCAATGACCTAGGACCTTAACCCTCGCATGTGTGCGGCGTTTGCCAGCTTCTAATGTGTAGGGCCGATGATATCCAATTTTAAGGTCCTAGGTCATTGGTTGACCTTCCAGGTCAGGTCAATGGCCCAAAGTCGGGAAAATCGGGACCTGTTAGAAAGTCGTAAAGTGTGGCTGCTAAGGGGTTCTTCGGGGTGCTGATCACGAATATCGTGTTAGTTTTGATCACAGATGATGTCTTTAAGCATTTAGACCAGGTCGGGTCAGGTCAGGTCAGGTCAACCAGTAGGCGTCGTGACGGGTATTCGTAGTACGTGTCAACCGCCTCTGACAGCTTCGTAACATGTTACGAAGGCACCAAAACTACTTTGTAAATGTTCAAATGGTTGCTAAATTCGAATTCAGCTAAAAAACTAGCCTAGAAACATGTACAGCTCGAAAAAGTGAACCGAGGTCACCCGAGGTCACCAAAGGTCAATGACCTGACCTGACCTTCAGGTGACCTTGACACCCACCCTAATGCATGGAAGCAACATCAAATCACATGTTTGAACGTTTGAAACCACGAAAAGCTTGCAAACGCGCGGCTAATGCGGGCCGACATACGCAGAATCGCGATTCCGGCCAAACATGGTCTCGGAAAAGAGGTCACAGGTCAAAGGTCATTTGGGTCAGGGTCATGAAATTTTTAGGGTAGGTGTAAAATTGATCAATGTGAGGGTACTGAAAGTTTCGTCGCGATCGGCCGCTCTTTACGCGAGTTATTCGCGAAAAACCATGGGGGGTCCATCCGACCCCCCCCCCTACACATGCGAGGGTTAAAATTGGGTATTAATGGCTTCCTCTCTTCACGGGCAAAACGCTCGTTTTTTTCCGCGGAACTCTAGCTCGATCAGGGGCGAAGCCGGCAAGGGAGGGGGGGGGGCCTTATACGCTCGTGGCTGGAAAAACACCAATTCCATGTCAACCGGGACGGCCAAAATCGGCCACCTCTGCGATTTTGTTCAAACTTAGTATACTTATTGGCTATTGCGTGAAACCTCTGAGGGTGAATGGATTTTGTCACATGCCGGCCTCGTGCTACAGAGATACAAGTCGCTTAACCCGCGCCCCAGTGGCGGTCTCAGCCAACTTCGCACTAGTGGGGGGGGGGGGGGGCATATGTTACCACCCACCTCTAACTCAAAAACTAAGAGGGCTAGAAAGACGCGGTAAAAAGCATTCGATAGCTCTCAATGCGTACGTTTGAAAGTATTTCAGTCATTTTTCATCTTAGAGCAATATTGGGGTCACCAGAGGTCATCAAAGGTCAAAATTTGCCAATTGTCATATTTTTCAGAAAACATGCCGTTATCTCAGGAACTATGGTAGCTAGAAAAACGCATGGAACAGCAATCGATAGCTTTTAAACCCTTCTTTTGATAAGGTCATTATCAAAATTGACCTCAGGTCAACGGTTTAGTCTCCAGAGGGCAAAAACTCCAAAACAGCTGTTTTTACGAAAAGTGTTCTTCGACAATAACTTTCGACTACAAAAAGCCACGACATTTCTATTGCCAGAATCGTGTTCCTCTCGCCGAGACGCGTCGATTGAACTATAATTTGACCTTGAAAGGTCAACTTGAAAATTTGACCTCAAGTCAAGGTCATGAGCTGACCGGAAAAGGTCATGTTGCATATCAGTGGATGCGTTTCAACAAGACAAACACAATGAGACCATCCCTAGCGTTCTATCTCTTTCCAATCGCGAGTTATTGGCAAAAAATCTGTTTGTAGCCTGAAATGACCTCGGATGACCTTCCTAGAGGCTATCAGCAAAAATGACACCTAGATCATCACGGATGGTCCAAATTATTGTGATTCTGAAATATTTGGACTGTTCCTATGCGTACACACGGATCTAGAGGCATTTCCATTTTTCTCCATTGACTTGTAATGGAAAGGTCACGTCACTGACCTGACCTTAGGTCACGGATATAAAAAATCCGAGATATACAAATTGTAGGCACCCATAACAGCATGCAATCCACCAAGTTTAAAACATGTCTGACAAACACTGCAGGCTGGACATGATTGCAAACTTTTTTAGGCTTGGTCAGTTAACTTGACCTGGTGACCTGACCTGACATGACCTGGGGTCAAAAATTTAATACATTGTCCAAAATTGATGTACCAAAAGCTACCCCAAGCGGCGCGGCGCTACGCGCCACGGTTTTTTATTCACACGCAAAAAACGCGACAGGGTGGTAAGGTAACATATGCCCCCCCCCACTTGGGCGAAGGTTAACCTTTCAGGCGGTGGGGGGACATTTTTTGCCCCCTTTAGTTTTTTATGTATCTCCAGAACCGCTGCGCCGATCGTCACCAAACTTTCAGTACCCTCCCGTGAATAGCTATTGCACATTGTGACCAAAAAAAAAAAAAAAAAAATCCGAAGGCTATAATAGGACAATAGGTTGGCCGCCAATGATGTCGGAGTAACGTCATTTCTGCCATTTTCGACCCAAAAAAGGTTTCGCGGGAAGAGCTGTCAGGCCTACAGCTTTAGAGATACAAAAAATGTTTCAGACATAAAAGGTGCAGAATTAACAGGGCTACAAAACTGCTATCTCGGATTTTTTATTTTTTTATTTTGACCCCAAAAATAAAACAATATATTTGTGAATATAATAGCCGAGAAATCCAAAAAGTTTCTTGAATTTCGAAAAACGGAATATATGTGATAGTCCTTACCGCCTTCTATCCACATACCAAATTCGAGATCGATACCTCTTTTTTTGGCCAAGTTATAGCAAAAAACTGTTCAAAATTGATGACGTCAAATTTTCAAACACAATTGTTAGCAGTTCTAGACGTCGTAGCGCAAAACAAAGTCCATTATTAGACTCCACGTGACGAGCTGCATCGAATCAATACCCATTTTATGCAAAACTATCAACTTTGAAATTTGACCTTTTTTGACCTGACCTTGACCTGACCTCCACCAGAAAGTGACCTAAACCGTACCTGATGGTCTTATAACCAACACAATTGAGTTGGAAATGAAAAATTGGCCATAAAACATGCATCGCACAACCTTAGTAAAGTTGGGTTCATGTGCTGACTCTTGGTGACCTGACCTGTGACCTGACCTGGTATTGTCAGTAACCTCTTATAGCAACATATGTACTATACGATGTACTATATGTACATATGTACTACATATGTACATACATACATACATATGTACAACATATGTACTATACGATGTACGACCACGATGAGATAAGCCTTACCTATAAAATAGCTGTTCTGGGGTTTTTATTTCAATATAAAGCCCTGACACACGATACCCTATCCATATATCTAGCAAGAAATAACCATTATTGCAGTGTCATTGCCTGTTCGGGTCGGTAGTCTGTGCAGTGTGCACCCAGCAGAGCCGTCCGTTCAGCACACGGTAGGGAAGAGTGGGGCACATTCGTGCAAAAATGGATAAATTCATATATCTGTTCTTTGGTTAGTACAACGGCAAAATTGTTGATTGGAGTATAGAAAGAAACTATTGCAGATATTTTCCTCTTAAAAGTTATCCTCTAAAATTATTGCTTCTATTAGAAAAAATGACTTTTAATAACTCTGAACGTTTGCACGAAACTGCCCCACCTATGGGCAGAAGCGGCGGAACACCTTCAATTAACCCTCGCCCGCCCATGGAGGGGGGGGGGGGGGTGCCACCCCCAGGTAGTTTTACTGCTCTGCACTCAAAAGTTTTTTAGAGCTAGAAGCCTGATTTTTCGTATAGCTGCTCATCTATCCTTTCTTGACGT